GGAGGAGGAGGAGGAGGAGGAGGAGGGAGGTGCCGGCTCCGAGGGAGGAACAGATGGATTGATGCATGAATAGATCCGGGGGGAATTAGGATTTGCATCGAGCAAAGAATGGGGAGCAGAGGGAAGAAAGGAGCTGGAACATTGAGTTCCTTCAGTGGTCAAAAAAAGAGCACGATGTACATCCTTTAGCTGGAGGAAATTTCCCCTGCAGAGACGCATCATTAAAACCCTGCTGCTTTATTGTCCTAATTAATCTCTTCATTATCACCAGATTTATGTCTCCCAGGATCCTGTCACGCCCCTCAGTTTCTGGAAACTGCTTTTATTTGTTGTTGTTTGGGTCGAAGGACTGGTTTGTGACTAAAACGTTCCCAACGTGTCCCTCCAAAACAAGAGCCGGAGGAAGCGGGAGCAGAACCCGCACATATGTCGGCTTTGATTCCATCAGCTGCAGAGCAGCCTGGATGTTCGGCTCGGTTCTGCAACGAACCCAGTCAGATTAAATCATTACGCAGTCATTCATTCCACGGAAAAGCTGAGTTTTTTCTGTTCTCTCAGCAGAGCGTGGATTACAGCTTCAAGTCGGAGTTTGGGGCTGGTAATGTGATAAAACTGTCATTTCTGAGGAATGCCGGACGGATGGAAGCGCTGCGAACAGCGCCTTCTAGCGGCGAGCTCAGCAGCAGGCGCCCAGCTTCAGAACACAGCGGGAAAAGTTGCGGATTTCTCCGGAGTTTTGCATTAAAACGGAGAAAATGCGATCAGAACGGCGGTTTGCAGCAGAACAGCGCAGCCCTGTGCGCACTTTGCGCTCCTTTGCGGCTAAAGCAGCGCAGCAGAACCTGCTTCCCTCTGGACGCAACAGGTGCTGCGGAGTTCAGACAGGATTTGCACACAAACCGGGAAGAAATGCAAACAGTGGGTGGGGTGTTCCCAAACTGTTCCCTGAACTTTTGCTTTCATTTGCGCTGACAGGAGACAAACTGCGGGGATTTTCGGTCGAACAGAAAACATCTCCACTCTGATTTCTCTTTCACTTTTTGTGCGTAAACGTCAGAAGCTGCGCGTGGTTCGGTGGTTTTGTTTGCGGGATCCGCAGGTTTTGCGCATCAGTTGAGCCGCCGCTCGGTGGCTCGGGGTGAAACTGGGATCCTCCTCCTGCTGGCCGCCGGCCAGACCGGGAACAAGTGCGCCTCCCTCTGCTGCTGCTCGCTGTATTCATGGTCCCGGGTTTGCTCGGCTGTTTTAAAAAGGCTCTGCAGGTCTGCAGCTGATCAGTCTGCTGAGGAAAACTGCTGCTGCTGCTGCTGCTGCTGGAGAAAGTCTGCAGGAGTCCAACAGGAAGGAGAGGCTGCGCAGGACCGCCGCTGGTTTGGTTTTTTACTCCCAGAGAGAAAAACTCCTGAAGCCCAGAGAGAACTCCTGCTGTTCATGACGGGTTTACTGGAGAGCTGCACTCCTGGATAAACTGTGAGAATCGGATTATCTGCGCTGAGTCCGTCAGACCGGGAGGACTGAAGATGTTCCTGAGCTGCTGCCTCCTGCTCACCATCATCCTGGGGCTCTCCCGCTGCTCGGCCTCCTACGTGCCCTGCGAGCCGTGCGATGACAAGGCGCTGTCCATGTGCCCGCCGGTGCCCGTCGGCTGCCAGCTGGTGAAGGAGCCGGGCTGCGGCTGCTGCCTGACCTGCGCGCTGGCCGAGGGGCAGGCGTGCGGCGTCTACACGGGCACCTGCACCAAGGGGCTGCGCTGCCTGCCGCGCAGCGGCGAGGAGAAGCCGCTGCACGCCCTGCTGCACGGCCGCGGCGTCTGCACCAACGAGAAGGGCTACAAGTCCGCCGCCGCTGCCGCCGCAGCCGCGACCGGAGGTAAGCCGGCCCGAGGAATATGCAAACTGCTCTGCACCTGTAACCAGCTAGTTGAAATTTAAAATGTTTACAGTTGAAAATGAATAATTTTGGATTCAAACATTACACTTTTTTCCACTTTTACTTTGCTAAATTAATTTTGTGCAGTTTCTTTTATTACACTGCAAAATGTATGGAAGAAAAACAGACTCAAAAAGCCTTTTTTAGTTTCCTTTTTTACAGCTGACTCTTTTCTGGCTATTTGTTGTGCCGGCCCGAGCAATATGCAACTGCTGCACCTGTAACCATTCAGCCTCAGTTTCAAACCAAATTTCAACCATTTAGAGTTAAAAATTATTCATTTTGATACAAGAACTTTATCTTATCTTTATATTGACACATTTTTTGTTGTTAAAATGTATGGAAGGAAAATACCTCCAAGAAGCCTTTTTTTCCTTTTTTTACAGTTTACCATTTCTTTTTGCGTGGCAGTTTGTTGTGCCGGCCCAAGGGATATGCAAACTGATCTGCACCTGTAACTTCACAATGTGATTTGCATCACAACTGATACATTTGCAAAAGATGCAACTTTTCCCTGTGCCTTTAGCATAATTGATATGTTTTGCATCCAAGCGTTTAAAGGGACAGCACAGCGGTTGGTGGGTTTAGCTGGAGGTGGATCCCAGGGTCTGTTTCTGCCCCGGGCCCCATGCGGATCGGATGCAGCCCTGCTGGATGAATAACTGAAGCTGGAAGTGAAGAAGCGACGCAACGTGACTCATGTGGTCGTTTTAGAGCGTGGTTGTTATGGTTTGTGTCGTCGCAGCTCATGAATTTTCATTGCTCACGTTTTTTCCTCTTTATTGAGTTTGTAAAGCATCGTTCGTGTGGCTCAACGATGATGCAAATTGGGTTTGCAGGCCGCCATGCCTGGCTGTTCAGAGTTGGATTACCACTAAATCTGCGTGTGTGAGGCTGAGAGATGGAGCCATTTGTCTTGAATGATTTAAGGTGCGTCTGTCACTCTGGGGTTTCATCGGCTCACAAGCAACTGGATCCAGTTGGTCCAGACAAAGGTTTCAGAACGAAGGGGTTCTGTTGTTCTAAATATAACCTGGCGTTGTGTGAAGCATCAATCGCTATCTGACGTCACATGAAGCCAGAACTGCCTGTCAGAAACATGTGTGTGTGTGTGTGTGTGTGACTCAGGCGGGGCCGTGTGGATTGTAGTTGGTGGTGATGACAAGTCAGGCAGTTTTACACCCAGAAACCTTGGAGTCTGAATGCTCCAGAGGACGCTCTGTTCACAAGCTAACGTCAGCCAGATAGCCGTCAGCCAGCTAACCATCAGCTATCTAGCCGTCAACCAGCTAACGTCAGCCAGCTAACCAGACAGCTAACTGTCAACCAGCTAACGTCAGCCAGATAGCCGTCAGCCAGCTAACCATCAGCTATCTAGCCGTCAACCAGCTAACATCAACCAGCTAACCATCAGCTATCTAGCCGTCAACCAGCTAACTGTCAGCCAGCTAACGTCAGCCAGCTAACGTCAACCAGCTAACCGTCAGCCAGCTAACCGTCAGCCAGTTAACCGTCAACCAGCTAACCGTCAACCAGCTAACGTCAACCAGCTAACGTCAGCCAGCTAACGTCAACCAGCTAACGTCAACCAGCTAGCCCCCTACAGGTGCAGGTCAACAGCCGGCGGTGTCTGCTGGTTTTGGTTTGATGGAAGTTAAAATCGTCACATTTCTACTGAGATTCACTGAAGATAAAAACCAATCCGTCGATACAAATCGACATGCTACGTCTGCTTTTGTTTGACCTGCTTTAGCCCAACGGAACAATCTTAAAATTAGACTGTTTTGGCTAATTTGTCCCCATGCAAAGCGGCTTAAAGTTGCTCAACCAATCAGATCCAGTTGATCAACTTTTGAAGTTCAGACGTCCCCGTAGGCAATTTTTCGCCCCAGATTCCCGAAACAAGGGAACCTGTTTCAGGGTCCCCCAAGTCTTAAGTTCATCTTGGGAAATGGTCTGATGACGCGACGGTTTGACTGACGATGTGCCAAGTAAACCACATTTACTTGTTGGTGTTTGTAGGTTGGAAAAGTTCAGGTGTTTTTCTAGTTGACAGATTTTCACGCTGATTTTTGTCCTGACTTCTCCCAGTATGAAAGCTGGCCTGATTTTCAGGATGATCTTGTTTGATTTTCCTGCTGTGTGTTCGGAGCGTTCTGCTCTGGTATCAGGGATATCGACATGTTGGATTGTCTTGGTGCGATATCAGCCCATTGAATGTAACATGTAGCCAATCAGAAAGCGAAGTGACAGAAACATGGAAAGGAATCAAAATACACCAAAGACAGAACAACTAGAAAGTCCAGCGCATCGGTTTTTCTGTGAAATGTTGTCAAACTATCGCTGTTGCTTCTTCCCAGTCGGTCATGTTTGGTTACTCTGAACTCACGTTTGAGATTTTGTGAGATTTCCAGAGTAACGTCTGAATTTTGGTGATTTAAACCAGTTTGAGACTTTTTATCAAGTCGGGGTTTTGAAGATGTTGCCATGTGAACCAGGCGTGAGGCCTGGGGTCTCTCAGGTTGGACTTGGCCTCTGCTGGGTGAGACCCTTGGTTTTGTTGGGTCGATTGGTGTGAGGAGTGCCGGACGGATTCCTGGAGGCAGACGCCTCTGCAAACCTGTCCTGAAGAGGGATGAGTGAGTCCAGACCATGGACGGATGAAGTGGACTCCTGTTTGTTTGTTGAACCCGGTTCGGGTTCGTGATGCTTGTCCGTTCTCCTGGAGGCGTCCGGTTGTGGACCGGCCAGCGCCTGGTTTCTGCTGCCGACCAGCTGGACCAGCTGAGCGAGGCAGACCAGGAGGAGGAACCGTGAACTCTCACGCCTTCCCATTAGTTCCTGCTTTCCTCCTGCGCTGGGATCCCAGTTGCTCCGGGTTGGTGTGTGCTCCGTTGGCTCTGCCAGTGACTCAGACACGGGGAGGCTTGCCAACAGATATGACTTCATGGCAGCAGGCCTTGTACCCTCGGGGCTTCTGAAAGGGCCTTATGTTTCAACAGATTTCTCTCTGCCAAGAAGCAGAGGATGATTAAGAAGTAGTTCCTACGGCAGAATGTTTGCAAAGCAACAGGAAACCTGCAGCAGAGACTCACCCTGCATGTGCAGCGTTCTGCAGCGAGACGAGGCCGATCTCACGCCACTCTGGCATTAATATTTACAGTCATCAGCAGATGAGGCGGCCGCAGGCCTCCAGTGCTTCATGTTTGCATGAGAACTTCACATATGTACGGCGGCACCAGAGTGTTCCTGATTAGCATGAAGGAGCCGCATGTCGAAGCTCCTCGGCTTTTAGTACCGACATCTGTTCACACGACCAGAACGCAGAACATCGTCCAGTCAGGCGGTCAGACCATCAACCTGACAAACCCGTCGGGCCAGAATGCATTAATGAAACCCATTAAGCTTTAATAAATGTCTGAATCTATTAAGTACTTCTTAAAATTTAATATCAAATATCTTTTTGTGATTTTTGCCATCTTGTTACTTTATAAATATTTGTGAAAATTGTACTATATGACAGTAAATGTAGCTTTTTGTTCGCTCACGCCGCTAACGCTGAGGCAGCCATGCAGAAGTGTGAAATACTGCCACCTGCAGGTCGGAGTTTGTCACTTAAATCAAATGTTTGTGACCAACTTTGCAATAAACTCAATCATGAATTTCCATGAAAGCCTGGAGATTGATTGATGTAATTAAAAACTGCTTTGATTTGGTTGCAGCTTCTTTAAACGTCTCTGTTGCCGTTGGTTCCCATCAGAAACGTGTTTCTGTTCCCATAATCAGCAGGAATCAGTGAAAGTTTCTGGTTTTTGTTTCTCAGTGGGTTTCCTGTTTTCACTTCACCAGAACAGAGCTGGAGATCCTGCAGCTTCTAGCTGCTAACAGAGTGAGAGTCGACATGAACCTTTTGACCTCCATGATTGTAGACGCAGCTCTGAACCTCCAGGATGTTTGGCAGCGATGCATCCTTCTCCTCTGGTGCAGGAAGCAACGTTTCAGGGAAATAACATCCACAGTTCATGAAATTCATTCAGCAGTTGCTTTTATCTGGAGCTTCTGCAGAAAAATATCCAAAGAAGAAGAGTGGATTAGGTTTTCTGCTTTGGGCTCCTCTCAGCCGGACCTCCACCACCTGCACTGAACAGATCCGCTGCATGTGTCAAACTCAAGGCTCAGGGGCCAAATCTGGCCGCCGAAGCTTCTTATGTGGCCGTCTAGATTCCAGACACCAAATGACATCATTCAGTTTCTGCAGTTTTTCATGCAAAACCAACAGATGCTCACATTTTTCTGCATAACTGTGAGCTGAATGCAAATTTTATACAAAAATGATGAAAATGATCATTTCCTTTTACAGTGCTGCTGCCTGTACAAAAAGTCACGTTTACATACAAATACTGCAGAATTCATTGCAAATATTTCTGAGTTAGAATCACAAAATCTGTGATTCTGATTGCAAACAATCACAAAAATCCTGAAGGTGCAATCAGTGTGAAAATGTATTAAATATGAAGACGTCCTCACTGAACGCAGACAGAGCTCTAAAGTTTTGACAGTTTGTTAAAGGGCATTGTGCTGCAGCCGGCCCTTTAAGAACATCCATGGTGTTGAAAGTGGGAATGAGCTCGACGCTTCACTCCGGATCCTCCAGATTTGGAGGATTTATCTGGAGGTTCGTCTGCTCAGAAACCCGTCATACCCAGTAATTGCTCTGCGGTGGCGGTGACCCAAGCAGACGCTGCCTGCAAGCGTGCGGCTTGTTGCAAACCCAAATATGGGACAAGACCTCAGACCAAAATTAGCCGAGTCCAGCAAAGCAGCCCGGCCGTAAGCAGCTGCAGCAGCTACAGCAGCTGCAGCAGCTACAGCAGCAGCTACAGCAGCACTGCTGCTGCAGCCTCCTCCTCCTCCAGTCCTGTTGTGAAATGAACGACCCTTGAATTGTTCTGGTTGCTGTTTATACTGTGGATTCAGAAAAGCAGGAAACTGATTGATTGCACAGGAGAAGTTCTGAGCTCACAATGAGCCGCTTCCTGCGCACAGATTCACAGCACCAACTTCAGAATCAGAACCGGATCAGAACTGGCTTCACTGATCTGACCAAAACCTCGTCTTTTCAAACTTTCCTGACTTTCAGCTGCATCAAAATGAGAAAAATAAATTACAACATTCTTAGTCTGTAGTTTAAAAAAATAAATAAACAAATATTGAATATAACAATCAGGCATAACATTATGACCACGTGCCTGGAAGCCCAGACACGTCGTTTCTTTACATGTTCCTTTCCAAACTCTGCAGGTCTGCATGTTTCCTGCTGCGCTGCAGCGTTTTCAGGCTGAAGCCTTCAAATATTCAGCGGCGGCGGCCCCGTCATCCTGCGGGATGGTTTACTGTCATTGTCCTCTGCGCGCCCCGCGGCCCTCAGGCTCGTTGATCTCCATTCACTGCTGTCTTACATCTGGTAAAGATGTAATTTCAGAGGCGGCGAATCAAAGCGGGCCGCGGCGGACCGGGAGCCGCGGAAACCCAGTGAGCGCTGGGAGAACCGGACCCGCCTCTTTCCGTCCTGATGCAGCGCAGAGAGCAGGGGCTCGTCTTTCACTGCTGGCCCGCGGGCCAAGAGGAACCTGGGATATTCATGAGGCCTAATTGTGTGCAGATGTTAATTTTTAAACAGGACTATCAGGTGCGGCGCTGCTCAGCGAAGGGCTGCAGCTGTCAGGAGTTAAACCAGACCCGGAGCCCGGAACAGGCCCGGTACCAGAGCATGGAAAAACTGAGCTGCTTTGCAACGGATTATTAACGCTTTTTTAAATTTAAATTGAGATTTCTCCTTAAAGGGGCAGTAACGTTGTTTTGCAGGCACATGTTGCCATTTTATAGCACAATCTAGTCACCATGTTACCTTCAGCTGTTATAAAAATACTAAAAATGTAAATCAGATATAACTTCAAAGAAATAACACTTTGAAATTGGGTCTCTGTCTCTTTAAGAAGTTCCTGCTCTTTCTGAAGCTCCGCCTCCAGGAAGTCATCTCAACATGGCTCCTCTATTAACCCTTTAATGCTTTTAACTGAGCAGCAGCTTCTGTCATGAGCTCAGCAGCTGTTTGCTAATTGCTCCTGGCTAGTCTGAAGGAGCTGAGAGCGGGAGGAGTTTCAGCTCCAAGGCGGGGCTTGGTCCACCCAGGCGTACAGTTTAACGGTTGCCATGGAGATTAAAGGACTTCTCAAACATGAATCAAAGCAACACTGCAGTTTGTTCTGATGAGAGAAAAACATTCAAACATGAAAAGGTAAAAAACCTGATTTTCCATGATACTGCCCCTTTAAGTCAGTGAGCTGTGTGTTTAATTTATGGCCTTTTTTGTTCTGCTGCAAATGAAATTACACACGAAACAAGAATGTGTGTAAAAAAAAAAGAAAGACCTTGTTTTCAGCAGCCGTTTTATGGCCAAATATGTGGCATTTCAATCCAAATTATTGGACTGTAGCGCAGGAGTAATGAGTTTTTCCACAGCGGTCACATGTAGGAATGCTTGAAGTATTTATTTATAGCGAGTGACAGCCTGGCAGTCTGAGCGCGGAGACACAGCGACGTATCTAAACACGAAGCCGGGCCTGCCAAGTCATGAGTTGTTAGATTCATTTCAGAGACGGGGAGCAGAAGCCAAGTCCTGATAATCAGCCCCCCGCCGGTCCCTCCGCTCCAGACGCTCACGCTGGGTCAGGCTGCTCCTCTTTAACCCAGAAGAGCAGCGTTTTCCCTCCCTACTCGACCCGGGTCCGTGTTCGGTTCCGACAGTCCCCTGTGGTTCTTTGGGTCTGACACGCCGCCGGGTTTCCTTACCGGATAAATATAACCGGGTCATCCGCTGGCACCGCCGCCACAACAGCCCTGCACTTCGGGCCCAGCCGAGCCGGGAGGGCGGAGGGGTGTGTTGGGGCGGGGGGCCGGTTCTGTGGCCTTAAAGGACCCCTGGCTGGGGGTCCGGTCTTAAGAGGCCGAGCCCCAGAGACAGGAGGGGGCGGGGATCTCCACTGGGGAAAACTCACATTTAAACCTGAAACCCAAGCGGCACTGGTTTGATTCGCGTCTCTGTTTACAGATCATATTCTGACTGAAATATATTCCTGCGACCCACTGATATCTGGTCCATGTCTGCCAGCGAGCCGCACCAGAACCGCAGCCATGGGGAACCGCTAGCTGAAAGTTAGCTGCACTAACTCTACAGCAGTAGTCAACACTAGCTCAGTTAACAATGAGTACAAAGTCAACGTGTTATTTAGCATTAGCTCATGCTAAAATGCTACATCAACTTGTCCAAGCTAATGCTAAAGAGGAAATGGAACTGCTGCCAAACAGCCTTTATTCACTTCAAAATAAAAGCATAAATATGAACATCAAACCACTTGAAGAATCCTCAACAGTCAATAACCAAAGATATTGAACTTTATTCAAAGTTTACAAAGTAAATTATGTTAAAATTTATCCAAACTAATTTAGGTGAACTAAACGTTTCTAAAGATAACAAAAGGCTCTTAGCGCCTTAGCTGCTCACCAGTTCAGCTTGATGAGTTAGCGTAGCTTGCTAACAGATATTTAAGTATTGCTGCTTTTGGAGAGAAAATCCTAAAACATCTGTTGACTCACCGCTGCAGAATATGGATGAATTTCTGTTTTTATGCCGTTTGTTGCTTTGCCTCCTGTTTTGCACAAAGACGCATCATTTCTGCCCTGATGCAGCAAATCCTCCAGTTAACATCAGTTTCTCCTGCCAGTCGGTGTGAGTCGCTGTAACGGCGTTTCCCTGGTGTCGTCCTGCAGATCGGGAGACGCGGGTGGACGTGGACATGACTCCGGACGTTACGGGCGTGGTGCCGCCAGCCAAGGTGCCGCTGCATCCCAAAGACATTGTGAACAGTAAAAAGGTGATCGCAGTGCGCAAAGAGCAGAAGAGGAAGCTTGGCAAGCAGCGCTCCTTCAGCTCCGGCGTGGATTATTCCCCCATGGACATCGACAAGCACGAGCCTGAATTTGTAAGTTCTGTTGTGGACGATTATTGATGTGGGATTTCTTCTCCACTATCTGACACCTTTTAAAGGTTTTAAATGCTGGTTTTTAATGAACTGCTGAATTTTTCTGAAGGGTCCCTGTCGGAGGAAACTGGATGGGATCATCCAGAAAATGAAGGACACTTCTCGGGTCATGGCGCTGTCTCTGTACCTTCCCAACTGCGACAGGAAAGGGTTCTTCAAGCGCAAACAGGTGGGTTAGGCAGCAGTTAGCAGAAGGTTTCTTCTCCAATTTTATACCCACATCCTTTCTACATCTGGAGCAATCATTGCCTCACACCCAACCAGTGAGGCACACGATTAAATCTTGAGTAAACATTGCTAATAATTCAGTTTAGCAGGTGCAAAGCACTGACAACCTTCTGATTTATCTTTTGCACTATGGCAGAGATTTGCTGATGAAACCCAGATAGAAATTCAGTTTTAAGGATGAAAGGATTTGTTCTTGACGTTTCGTGGCGCAGAACCAACCATTGAAACGTCTTTATCAGGGTTTAGTGGGACCTGGGTGTGATCAGGTTTCCTCAGGGATGATGCAGCTTTGGTGGCAGCTGGTATCTTGTTCCTCCACAGAGGAAAGCAGATAAGACTGGATTTAAGGACCTGGGGAGGTTTGAGTGGGTGTTTGTGGTCAGTGCAGGCCAACAGGGTATGGACAGAGTCCTTTTGGTTGCTTTAGCACCAAACATCCATCCACTGGTCACCGGTTGGCTCATCCGTCCATGTGTACCGGCTCAGTCCTTACTCGGGGCTGGTGGACACCTCCACTGGTCAGAGATGTGGCTTTACTGAACCGCTTCCATCAGAGCGGTCGATCAGCCTAACGTACATGTTGTAGGGCAGTCAGAGGAAACCCAGAGGAAGCCCCGATCTGGGCCACCTCAACATGTCGAACAGATCCTATAGTTTTCTAAGCGTTTTATTTAACTTTTAGGTCACTGGCGTAAGACATGCATCATAATCCTGCTCCAAGAGACGACAGATCTGGTGAATCTGGACGTAAACAGAGGCTGAAGCAGCTTCTATCAGCGACGGCCATTTCCACCTCCATAGGACAGAGTGCTGCTGTGTGACAACTATGTTGTTCTTCTGTGCATGCAGGTGGCTTTGGGGTCTCAAACTGTTCACACCGAGCTCTGATTGCAGTTGCATTTAATTAGCATGAACGACCAGGCAAAAAATAGATCCTGGAATTAAGCAAAAAGTCGGCGCTGAGCATCAAGACCTGCTGTGTGACTGTAGTTAAAACATCATAACGTCTATAAGATCTGTACAGATCACAGGTCAGGAAAAGGGCAACTAATGTGACTGCAGATCCCGCACATGCTGGACATGAACTGTTTAGTCTTTAGCCTTGAAGTCGACGCTACAGAGGCAGTTTCTCTGAACAGTCGGTGCTCAGGCCAGTGAGTGTGGCTGCTGGGTTAGCCCGTCTCTTCAACTGCCTTTAGCTGTGCTGCAGACATGCGGCCCAGTACACCGTATGCTTCTGTTTGCTTTGTGTTCGTTTCCACTGAAACTATCCTGTTCTCTGGTTTTGCAGTGCAAGCCGTCTCGCGGCCGCAAGCGGGGCATCTGCTGGTGCGTGGACAAATACGGCGTCATGCTGCCAGGGACGGACTACAGCGGGGGGGACATTCAGTGCAAAGACCTGGAGAGCAGCATCAACGAGTGAAAGCCCCGGCCCCTTCCCCCCGCCCCCATAACCGTCACATGACCCGGGGCCCACGCATCTTCTGAGTCACACCTGTACGCTCCGCCCTCTGCTCACACCAACAACCTGTTTTTACCAGAGAGACACAAAGAAAAAGCACTATTCTCTGATAAAGGAGACCACTTCGGATCCCCCACCTCTTCATTTGACTGTAAAAAATTCACCACAAGAAGAAGGAGGAGGAGAAAACTGACCCAGCTGCGTGTCGTGGGACTGAGAATTGGCTGAGAAATGATTGGTTTCTGGTTTTTCTGGGGGGTTTTCAGAGCACTTATAGAAAGGGGATCCTGTTTAGAAACCTGTGTGACGCGTTGGTGTGTTACAGAGCGAGCCCATTTCAGAAACAAAACCAGCAGCAGAACGTTGTATTTCCTCCTCTTGTTCGATCGTCGCCAACCCGACGGCCCTTCCTCTCCAACGCAGCGAACGTCTTTGGGACTCGGAGCGTTCAGACGGTCGCAGACGAACACGTGAGCGGCTCTTCAACCACGTAGCTAGCCTGACATGCCAACTGTGCCTATGAAGCTGCCGGGCGGCGCTACGCAGCTCCGCTGGTCAAATCAAAGACTCTCAGCTTCAGCGACGGGAAGCACGTTTGATTTTTCCGAGTTGGGATTGTTTTTTTCGGGGGCGGGGGATCGACCTTGCCGATCGGGCCGTTTCCTCTCTAACTGACTCTTTTTTTGTGGTTTTATTTGTGATTTCTTTGCCTTCAGTGAAGTAAAAGATCGCCCTACGTTTTGAGCCATGTTTCCCCGTCAGTACAACATATTCATGGTGTATTACTTTTAAATATTCTTTGAGGGTTTTTCCTGTAGAGAAAAGCCAGATCATGTAAAGAAAACAAAGACTTTTTGCCTGTAAAGAATTGGAAAGTGTCCTGTTACAGCAGCTCACAGGGCAGTGGGAGCTTTCTGCCTTTTTCTCAGCGGAGCGCCGTGAGAACACGACATGAGCAGGTCTCCGGACCCGGTTTCTCCTCTCTGTGCCTTCCTACAAACAGACTTAAGCACTGGTGTGAAAGCGACACCAGGGGGCAATATTCAGGACGAGGTTCGAGGCTAACAGAGAAGAACGATGAATGTGGTCGGTCCCTTAAATTCAGTCCAGCTCCGTTTGTCCGTGTTGTTTCAGAACCTCCTGCTCTTCCTTTGACGACTTAATAAGCTAAGATTGTCACTTTTTCTGTTTTTATGTGAATGCCAACGATTGACGGGGAGTTAGACGGGAAGCTGAGGAATGTCGGTTAGTTGTTTTTCCTGCGAATGAGAGAGGGAATGCGTGCATCCAGGGGTGCTGTGCAAAAATCCCCAGTCATCCCTCGTTCCTTTAACTTCTGCTTTTAAACAATCTCTTTTAGTCTTTAAACTGGTTTTATTGAGCGGTTCTCCACTTCCTGAAGGGTTTTCATTGTGTTTTATGACAGACTTTAGTTGCTTGATGTTTTATATTTCAGCCGTCTTCTAATCATTCAGGTGTAACAGCAAACAGTTTGACATGCAGGAAATAGTTGATGTACAGATTTCTTAGCCACAGAGTTGTTCCCTCTAATATTGAAAAAACAAACAAACAGTATATTAGTTTCTGTTTATTTTTCATTTTAATTCTTGGGAGATTTGACACTTTTTTCCCTTCTGGGACCCAAAAGGGAACCCTAAAGATTCATCTTCAAGTCAAGTTACATCTTCCAGTGGGCGCTAACCAAGGAGCTAGTTCTGCTAACACAGAAGCCCTTCACCAACATGCTAGTTAGCAGAGGCTAATGTTACAGTGCTACCTTCAATTCAAATTACATCGGCCCTTGGAAGACTTCAATCCTCTGGAACCAATTTAATTTTGAAATGTTGCCATAAGATTGTGAAACAGCTGTTGTTAAAGAAAGAAAACTGAAGTGCTGTGTAAGTCTTTATTCACTTCAAAATAAAAGCCTGAATACCTGAAGAATACGATAATCAAAACTTCAACATAAATGTCCAACTTTATTCAACTGAAAGTTTATAGAACAATCAAGGAAATTAGTATTTCAGAATTAACCCAAAAACATTCACCTAAGGGAAGCTAAGTATGCTAAAATTCTACATCATGGTATTTAGCTGAAGCTAATGCTAAAGGTGGAGTCAGTCGATATCCAAAATTTCAACAAAGATGTTGAACTTTATTCACGGAAAAGTTTAGGAAACAGTCAAGTTTGGATTAATTTAAGGGAAGCTAAGTGCGCTAAATGTTCTCAGTTAGCTAAAGCACTAAGCTAAAACTTAGCTCCACTATTAGCAGAAGTGTGCTAAAGGAGATCACAAGATAGTTTCCATTGAAAACCCATTTAAGATTTACACTAGCATTCATGGATGGTATCAACCAGGTTGGGCAAATTATGAACTCGATTGATAAAAGGAGCTAAAGTCCAAAGAGACACGTCAGAAAACTGGAAGATCTGTTGCTCAAAACCAGCATCAGCATTTAGCAGAACATTTGACAGTTTGCTAGCAAAGTGTTAAAAAACGAGGAGTGGTTTAAAACTTTTGCACAGCACTATACCAGTCGAATCACGTTAAGCAAAGCAACTTGCACTTATTTCACAAACTCACAGTAGATCCTGATGCACAACGACGATCCTGAGGTCGGCAGAGACTAAAGCCTGGAAAACTTTCCTTTCTGAAGCCGCGTTTCAAGCTAAAGAGACAGGGGCCGCCGAGGGGCCCAAAGAGACAGGGGCCGCCGAGGGGCCCAAAGAGACAGGGGCCGCCGAGGGGCCCAAAGCGACAGGGGCCGCCGAGGGGCCCAAAGAGACAGGGGCCGCCGTGGGGCCCAAAGAGACAGGGGCCGCCGTGGGGCCCAAAGAGACAGGGGCCGCCGAGGGGCCCAAAGAGACAGGGGCCCAAAGCGACAGGGGCCGCCGAGGGGCCCCTAGTGACAAGGGCCGCCGAGGGGCCCAAAGTGACAGGGGCCGCCGAGGGGCCCCTAGTGACAGGGGCCGCTGACGCCCACGCCTGGATTCAGACGGTAGCAGCGACTCTTTGGGTTTGGAGACGCTGCACTGAGACGGAGAGGATGAGGGGGAGGAAGAGCGAGGGAGCGCCGTGGGCCGTGGGCGCTACCAGGCGATAGCCACGGCCCCCGATGAGGGAGCCACCGATTCACCGCACAGATCCAGTTAGAGACAGAAACAGGGAGTTCTGGGAAACGTCCCGTCTCCAGTTGGTTTTAACTCGTACTTCATTATTCAGTAGGACAGTTAGCAGTTCAGCTTGTTTGTTCAGAGTACATAACAGATTTTTGGTTGTAAAGACAATCGGGCTTTTGTAATTTGGTGTTCTGAGACAGACCCATCGGTGGCAGCCGGAAATATTGGTCAGTATTTGGAGCGACAGATTAAAAAAAAAAAAAAAAACCTGAAAAAAATCTCAAATTATAAAAGTGAATATCACTGTGTAATATTTATTCAACTTGTAATTTATGTACTCTTTTAACCTTTGTCTTTTTTGTAATGACAAAGCATTTATTTAAATAAAGTTATGTATTCATTTAAGCCGTCTGGTGTTTTCTGTAGAAATTGGCTTCGATGTGCCGTTTGAGGAGGAATCATCCTGATCGTAAGCGCCGGGTAATCTCCGAGGCCCGAGCTGATAAACCTCTTAGAGGCGTAAGTCTGAGGCGCAGCGAGCAGGAAGTGACGCTACGAGCCTGACCTGAGGCGAGGCAACCGGACGGATCTGCAACTCCACCATGTCGACCGCAGAAAGGACCTGGAAGCTCCTGGTCATCAAATCTGGAGGATTTGACTCAGTTTCTCTGTTTTGGTCCAACCTTTCAGAAGGTCCCGGGTTGAAATTCAGGTTTTTACATCTCCATGATTAAATCTGATTCCTTGCAGAAATCAGATTTTTTTGCTGTACTAATTAAATGCAACCCACTCAGACTTCAGTGTGAACAGTTTACAACAACAAACCTCAAGTGCAGCAACGCAATGTTTACAGAAATAATAATGGCCGCCGCTGCCCATTGATGGATTTTAATATTTTTAAACCAACAGTATCATCACAAGATACTTGATTAGCGCAGAGGTCAGGATGCTAACTAAAGCACGAATCATAAACATTTTTGCTAATGCTAGTTATGCTAACATGGTAATCAGTGGCGCTGATATCCTCCATGTGCCACATCATCATCTGTCATTCAACTGAAACTCCACAAACAGCCCAGTAAATTAGAAATTTATAATTTTTCTGGAGTAATTGTGCACTAAGAGTTTTCAAAGTTAGCAAAAATGCTAAAGCGCTAAACTAAAAATATGTTCCATTAGCAGAAGTTTGTCTGCCACTGTTGTTGAGCAACAAGAGCTACAATATCACAAGATCTGAATTTTTCATTGATTAGCGCAGTGGTTGGCACAGCTAGCAAAATAGTTAATTGTGCTAAAGCTAAAACTAAAGTTAATTAGCTTTAGCTAAAGCTAAAGTGCTAATCATAAATATCAGTTCTGGTGACGTAAACATGGTATTTATTTACTGGAAGTTAATGACGCATACGTCACATCAGTGGTGGTTTTATTCAAGTCAAAGTTTACAAAACAAGAAAATAAGTGGAAAAATGTATTTATGGGAAACTAAACATTTTCAAAGTTAGCAAATGTGCTAACTTTGAAAATGTTAGCATTTTGGAAGTGTTTTATTTCCAAAATCAGCTTCTCAGTTTTTTTTCTCCGTCATAGCAGCATGTGACATCAACACATTGTATTATTTCGCAATTAATTCATCTGGAAATACTGCAAACGTACGAATACAGATGTTTAAGTTGAGTAATTTGAATGTTCCCAAATGCCATCTCTTAGGGAGGCAGCGGTGGCTCCCATCATCACAGAGGAGCAGATAAAAGGAGGTCTGCAGGAATGCAGAGCGCAGGCTGGGACAGTCGGACAAGTGTCTGCTAGTTCCCTCCAGCCTGTCATCAAAGACGGACTCCCAAATGGAGGGTTCCTCCGCCGGGATCGGATGTGACCGCCACCATAATCTCTTCTTACATCCCACACACCATAAAACCAAAGCAGCGTACGGTAATATTTATGACATTTAACTACCAGGCATGGAAAGTGGCTAGCGGATAGCTGAGGAATGTTTTAATGGGATCCTACCTGCAGCAGGAGAACCAGGGAGAAACCGAGTCCAGGTGGGCAAAAACTTTACATCTGGTCCTTCAGTGTTGGAGTTTTTCTGCTTCAATGTGTCAACGTGCTTTTACGGAGATAAAAATCTGAGTCCGATTCAAAAGAAGCCAAATTAACAATTAACATCCAAAAAGCAGATTTCAATCTCGCTTCTTCGCCGGCGTATCAGAGCCGTAGTAGTCAGAAAAAAGGAGTAAATTTCCAGGAAAGAAATCAGATAAAAAATTTAAAAACTCAGAAAACGCTGAGCTTGGAAATGAGAAATTTGTTAGAAAAAATTTGAAATTTTGAGATTAATCTCAAATTTTTTAGAAAAAAAAAAACAAAAAAAAACACTGGCCTTTAAAAGTAAAAATATATATATATAAATAAATAAACTTTTGGAAATTTGAGTTTTAAAAGTCTAAACTTTTTTTCTAGAAAACTTCCGAGATTAGTCCGAGTCCTGAATTTTTTGGGTGACGTTGACTCTTTTCTCCCTACGGCGGCCCTCTTTCATTTCTCCTTGTTTTCCAAGAAACTTTTTAAATTTTGACAGAAACTCGTTTCATTTTGTGAAAACTTTGTTTGGCATCAGGACGTTTTACTTTCCTACAATTATTCATCATGATCAGCACTTCGGCCAGTGGTTGTTTCAAGTTGCTTTATAAATAAATTTCTACTGCATTACATCGTTTAAAAGTTGTTTATTTATTTAAATACTTGGATTTATGGGAATAAAAAGCCTTTAGAATCTGACTGCCGATCAGATGTCATGTTGGACCAGAGAAGTCCAAACTTTTGGCCAAAATCGTCACATTTAAAGAGTTCAAGGGTCACAAGAATATCATTTTTTATTTTTATAAGAGTTTTCTATTCAAGATCTTCGTCACCATTTCTTTGAAAACTTTTGCTTTATTTGTTTATTAGTTTTTTTAAATCAATATGATGCCGTTTTGGGAGCACCCAGGTCTGATTTGAGTTTGAAATCAAGACCAAAAACTATGATCATCAACAGATGAACTTTGTGTTGCATTTAAAATATTCCATCTAAAAACTTGATTTGTTCATAAAAAGTCTCCAGGTGCCTCAGTTGCTTTGTGCTGATGGGCCAAATATCCGCGCTCTGCTGCCGCACTGCAAACTGGAGTTACAAGCACCATGTCAGCCAAAGTTTTGAAATCAGGGAACATTTCTCTGGTTGCAGTGATCAGATGTTGGGAAGTCTCTGAACGAGGATTTCCTGATCCAGCAAAGACCATTGAAGGTTTTATTTGGACCACTGTGTGCTTATTAACGACTGAGTCCAGGAGAAATCGGGCTGTAAAAGCCTGTAAAACTTTTATTGGAGAAATGTTTTAATTTTAACCTTCAGATGGAAAATGTGCTCTTCCTCTAAGCACCAAACCCCATCATGTTAATGCGCTTTATTTTTAATTGTAATGACTCGTTGCTTCAGGAATTATCACAAAATCTGGTCCAACAGAAATCGGAGAAACTTTTGGTTTACAGTTGAAGTAAAAATTGTTTTCAGCAGAAAGAAAGTCGACTCGGCAGATTCCCACCGTTGCTTCCCTCTGCAGAGAGCCGAACTCTCTGCAGAGAGCTCCAACATAATAATTGTCTTTGATATAAAACTGATGTCTGCACTTCCTGGAGAACCTCGTCATTTCACCGAGATAAAACAACAATTATTTTGTTAACATTCAACAAGTCTGAGAAACAAACCCACAATCT